CCGAAAAGATGCTAAATTAGAACGCTCGCCAGGTTGGAATCTGGTACGAGCCGAGCGTTCTGAGATCTGCATTTATACATTCGTCGAGAAGCGAAAGACACCGAAGGTTAGTAAGCTGGTCGGCAATGCATGTAAGTTGCACGAGAAGTGCACCTTTGCAGTCCCAAATTTGCGAGAGGATGAGTATTCTCGATCCGATGTGATCATGGCGTTGAACCTGCTGCCAGAGGAATCGCGAGGGTACTGAAAGTACCACGCTCCAGGCAAATGGTTCAAGCAAGCAAAGTCAACCGCCAAGATAAACAACGAAAAGACCACGCTCCTTTTCGACTCTGGAGCTGAAGTCTCCATTGTGGATTCTACCTTTGCTCGTAAGGTCGGATGCGCTATAGACGACAGCCATGTTGGTATTGGAGAGAACGCTTATATGACAGAAGGACGTACCCGGATCAAGATCACGCTCGCGGGAGCGTACGTGTACTACTTCGACAATTGGGTAGGAGATCTGTCAGGGCAAGCAGCGATATTGGGGATGGACTTCATGGTACCGACAGGAATCCGTCTTGACATGGCCGACGGATCCCGATGTCTCCCGGACAAAGTGAGAATTCAGCTGTCCGGACACCGCCAGCTCTTCAGCGTGAACTCAAGGTTGATCCCCTTCGATCAACACCACAGAATCCTGGTTGCAGGATCAGTGGAGATCGCCATCCGCAGATCGGCGTCTGACAGACAGAAGCTGTGGGGCACCCGTGGAGAACAGTGGGTACCGACCGCAGTCAAGGGACTCGGCAATACGCAGTACCTGCGCAAAACGAATGTGTCAGAACGACCGGTGACGTTACAACGCGACACTCGAATTGGAATCTGGATGGCAGGAGACCACGTACGCGGATGCCATGGTTCGTCTCGATCGGGTCCCGGAGATATGCTGAGTGGCAGAACTTGGCGTTGCAAGCCACCACGGAACAGCAAGCTGTAGACGAAGTGATCGGAACTGCGACAGAGCCTATGGTGGACAGGCATCAATACGAGCCGCCGACCAGGATCTTAGCAAGTAGGCGAGATCGCCCGAAGGCGATGATCGTCATGTCGGCAAGGGAGTCGATCACCGCACCAGATATCGCAGGCGAAGAATCGGCAAGGTTTCAACCGAAGGAAGAGGGTCGGAGCGATACGACCGAACCGACGGGAGAGATCAAGAGTGATCGTGAGCAGCCTAGATCAACGGAATTGGGAGGGAAACAAATTGAACCGAAGGAGGAAACTGACTATGACATGGACGATGCTGTCTGCTACCATGAAGGCGGAGACATCTTCCCTGAGGACATCGAGAACAACATGGCTGTCCTGCCAGAAGTGGAGGCTACCACGAAGGAAATCACCATCGACGACATACAAGTGGATGACCCGCACGCGACTCCGGAGGAACGCGAGCGATTGCGTCGCATCATCTGGAAGCGACGCCACTTACTGATCGGAGCAGGTAACGCCTTACCACCGGCCGCCTTCGGAGCTATTTGCGACATTGTTGTCGGAACAGCAAAGTCGGTAGCTCAGCGATGTCGACGGGTAGCGCCACAATTCCGCGAGAAGCTGTCCATGCTCATCAAGGGACTGCTGTCGGCAAAGATCATCACCACCTCCGCCTCACCTTGGGCGTCACCCATCGTAGTCATCATCAAGGCTAACGGGGTTGACATCCGCCTCTGCATTTATACCAGATGGTGAACAGCCTAACGAGGTTGATGTGTGTACCCCATGCCGTTGATCAACGACCTCCTTGGAGGCTTGGACAAACCACTCTGGTACTGTTCCCTCGGTATGGCTAGTGGCTTCTGGGTGGTGTCAATGACCCCGCGAGCAAGGCTGGTGTCAGCGCTCATCACACCGTTCGGGTTGTTCGAGTGGACGGGGATGCCGTTCGGGTTAAAGAGAGCTTCTCCGATTTACCAACGAATCGTCGACAACGCATTGTATGGCCACATGCGCATCAAACCCGATCAGAATCGATCGAGCCCTGTTGAAGTCTTCGAGGAAGGAGAGCCGGAGCCGGAACCCAAGCCGTCGGTTCTCGGGAAAAGGTCGTATGTGGACGACATCCTCGTGACGGGCGACTCGTGGGATAGCATGTGCAACCGTGTCGACAAACCGCTCCGCTCGACGTCTGTGATTGGTGGAACTTGTCGATCAGCGTAGCCAAGAGCTACCGGGGTCGACGCAAGGTGGCGTATCTAGGACATAAAGTATCCTCAGCTGGGCTTGAAGCGAAACCGAAGGAGCTCGACGCAATCGCGAACCTTCCGTTCCCCACCAAGTTGAAGGCGATGCAGTCGTTCCTCGGAAGCTTGAACTATTACAGCCGCTTCATTGAGGACTTCGCAGTGTATGTCGCATCTTGTACGAGCTGCGGGAAGCAGATTTCCATGAGATCGCTAAGACGGACACAGAGGAGACGCAGACCGAGGATGGTCAATTAACTGGGGGCGAGTGCGATGGGTGGGCGAGGACGAATAACGCTTTCACTATACTGAAGGCGAAGATCATTGCCACGCCGGTCCTGAACCCCTTGACCCCGTACGTACTCCTGTCATCGTGCTTTACGCAAACAAGTGGGCTATATCAGTGGCGTTGATGCAGGAACACGAAGGTGTGTACCATCCGGTGACCTTCACCAGTCGCACGTTGAAGGCAAACGAGCTCAACTATGGAGTGGTGGACAAGGAAGTATTGGCGCTTCTGCGAATACGTCTGTTACTCGTAGCTGGTTACTAGATCGATCAAGGTCTTGTCACGATTCTCGACATTGGCCTGGTTGCTCAAGTCGAATGGGTTCGACGGCCGCCTGGGCAGGTGGACAGCGCTGCTATCAGGGTGGACGTTGGAAGTCACCAAATGTGTGAAGCGTGAAGACGAAATCCTTGGAACAATTGCAGCTAGCATCACTCCCCGAGTCGATGTCGACAAAGCTTAGTCGGGATAGCACCGAAGAAACAGCCACGGAAAATGATCACCATGCCTCCACCAACGATCGAACCAGACGAGAACCTCTTGGTGGTGAGTTTCGACGGGTCTGCGCGGGTGAAGCGCAGCGGCGGTGCGTATAGTGCAGTCGTGTGGAAACTCCCGGAGTGGACAGTAGTGGAAGCCATGTCGGAGTATATGCCAGATTTGACAGTGAACGAGGTGGAACGGATCACGGACGTACGGTCGGGGAGACACACCCAATATGGGCGGGTGCACCGAGAATTCCAGGTCTATTGGAAGGGCTATGACCAGCCGACATGGGTGGATGAAGCCGACCTCAATTGCGCCGACGCCGCTCTGTTGTACGAGTATAAGCGCGGATATCCCAGCCGCAACCGCTTCAACGTGATGAACGTTGAGTAAGTCACCGACGGGCGGAGGTAGTGTGTGGGGTGGCCACACATTGGGTGGATAGGTATTTGTATGATGCGTAAAGACACCTGGTAACAAACGGGACAAGAGAAAGGAACATCGAAAGTTAGAAGGGAAGCTCAAGTGATGGATGGCATTACGTACCCAGATGGATGTATCTGGTGATCGAAACTGGATGATCAGAAACGATGATCGAGACTGGTGATCGGGATCGATGAGCGAGATAGACGACCGGGGTCGATAATCAATATCGATGATCGAAACTGACGATCGAAATCGATGATGGAGATGGATGATCGAGATCGAGGATAGAGATGGATGATCGAGACTGGATGGTCGAGATCGAGGATCGCGATAGCTGATCGTAATCAATGATCGGAATCTTCTAATTTCCGAGACAAAGTCTGGAAAGGAGGACTGTCCCTCTCGAATGAGATGGGCATCACTGGTTTCGCAAGAACTCCCCATGGCGTGGAGGCGTAAACTTCCGAAACGTTGCCCTCGTCCAAGAGTGCAGCGTCTCAATCAGAGTCGTGAGGCACTGGCTCTGGCTTCGGAAATAGCCAGTTAGGAGGCTTCGAGAAACGGCTGAACAACATCGCAACGTCAAGTCCAAGGACGTTGATTTGCGAGACGTCCAACAGGGGCCAGGGAGCTGCGTCAGCCATAGAAACGATTACACGAGCGCGATAGCCTGGAACCCAGTGTGCGCGGTCAACGCAGGTCGGAGGCAACTGGGCATATGCGGCAGGAGTCAGCAGCTCGTTGCGAGGCACCAACTTGGAGGCGCTACTTGCATCGACGGCGGCTCGATCACGAACACTGTTACCACGAGTGGGCATCCTGATTTGCTCGGCACCAACGGTATTGTCATCCGCGTCATCGACGTCCAACTCGATCGGACGGTCACGCGCGGTACCAGCGAGGTCCGACGAAGTGTGGCGACCGGATAGGGCGTGCATCACGGAGTCGTCACTCCCCGAGTCAGCACCACGGAGATGATCAACGAGGTCGGATCGAGCGTCGCCACGTCGGAGACGATTTAAGGACGGGTCAGAAGGTGACTGGTTGACGCCATCACGGCCGGATTGCCGTAAACCGCGGAGCGTACTGGCGCCATGACGTCCCGGAGAATCCGCACCGACGGACGCGTCATCTTGGTCATCAGAGAGATCGAACTCAAAAGGAAGGTCGTTGGAGCGAGGATACTCGTGTCGAGGCATGGAGCGTGGAGGAGGCGAGGCGTCGCCAGGATCTTGAACGGAACGACGTTTGAGGCAGGCTCCAACCTGGGGACGATCACTCACGGAAGGCGAATCGAAGGCAGGAACATCAGTCGCGGCAAGAGCGACCGGAGCAGGCTGCACCGAGGAGATTAAACTGCAACTTGAGACAGCAGGGCGAGTAAATCAGCAGAAGCTTGGTCGCGTTCTTCCGCAGCAACGTGGCAGGCCGTCTCAGCCTCCAAGACACGGAGGCTGAACGCGTCGTTCTCACGGGAGATGTTCTCCACCTTCTGCTGAAGGACTCCAACTTGAACTTGAAGGGTTTGGAACTCCTCTTGATCGACGCGTGTCGCATCGGCGTCCTGCTCCAACCGAACGACGTCGCCATTGAGAGAAGCCGACCGCAATTCTATGAGCAACGGATCAAGATTTGCAAAGGCACAAAGGCAGATCAGTGTCAAACGTACCAAAAGTTTGAGAAGCAGCGACTGCTTTGTCTCGGGCAGAGGAGACCTCGTCCAGTTCGGAAGTGAGGCGACAGGTAGTAGACTCAGCAATAGCGGCCGCGTCGCTCAACCGGTCCAGATCTTTGCAAGCACGATGGTGGCGAGCTTACGCACGACGCAGCCGAGACTCCAACTTGCTCACGTGACGTTGGAGGTGGGCTTCAGAGTCCTCCAGCTTCTTCAGGTGAGCCTCGTGGGCGCGGATCGTGTTCCCGGCGCTGTGGATAGCGACTCCCTGAGCGCGAAAGGCGTCGCAAGCGTTGCGGAGGTTGACCCGTAGTTGATCACACTTGCGGTGAAGAGCAGCAAAGTGGCAAGCATCGGCAGGAGAAGGCTGAGTCGCAACGGACCGAGCGGCGCTTAGTCGCGTCTCCAAGGCATCGATCTCCCGGTGAATACGTTCCAGCTCCTCGATGTGGTCGCTGAGAGTCGTCTGCGAGCGAGCTCGCACGTTCATAAGCTCTACTGAATCATCACAACGATATTGCAACTCGTCCAACGCCTCGCCAAGGTTGGCCTGGGCCCGATTACGATGGTTGAGCACAATCGAGTACTTGTGCTCGACGTATTCGACGAAGAGACGTGCAGCGGCGACGTTGTCGTCTATCTCCTGCTCCAGCGCACGCACCCGAGCCCGCAGATCGCGACAGACAATCTGCAGAGCTTGGTAGTCTTTGACAAGAGACTCCAATACGTCGGCATGGTCTACCACGGCCGCGAGCTGATCCAGCGCACCGCGGACGGAAGCTAGGCCCAGCGCAGGAGGCGCGAGAGGTAACGTGGGCAACGCAGGCGACGGGAGCAACAACGAGCTCAAGATCGAGATGCTGAAGGACACAACGAGGAAGATGAGCAAGAATCACAACACCAGGAGATGCACAAGCATATGCATCCGAATTGGAGTCGGTAGTGGACGGGCGCGCGGTGGTGTTGGGCGCACCAGGCGCTGAAGAAGGTGCGGAGGATGCGTATGGCATGCCCGTTGATCAAGGTCGGAAGAATAAGATCCGGGATATGATGTGGCAGTTAGGGACTTGCGTGCGAGTGAACCGCTGTACAGTCCCGTTGCACGCAGGGGTCAATTGACGTGGAGCGACCACGGAAAATCCGATCAAGTGTGACCAGGAGCTGGATGAACGATTGAAAGGCGAAGACGGGTGCTAGGCGTGTCGCACTTGGTGTGACGAGCACCCCAGTTGAAGTTGATTGCGCAAGCCGAACCCTACCCTACACCGCGATCGTCGATCAACGGACATCGATCAACAGGTGAAGAGTGGAAGGCCGCAGGCAGGATGGACAAGGCTGATATGGGTACAAGGGTACCATGTTTACGGCACATGTAGGTACAGTTCAGGATGAATGGTTGTGCAGATAGGCTAGGGAAGATATGTAGACTTCTGAATATTCTTTGGACCTATCACATTGGACCCCCTCTGCTATAGCTACGTGGCATCCTATACCAGGCTGGGAGCGTATATTGGTCCACCGGACGACCATGTAACCACACCGCTCTGCAGCAGAACAACTCGTCGACACCTACGCAGCTTGACTAGGCTCGACCAAACAACCCCCCTCAACGATCCCGCTAAAGGAAGCGGCAAGCAACGAAAAGGAAACAAACACACACAAGAACACGTGATTGGTTACCCGATCTACCCACATACTCGACAGCCGCGTGAAGAAGTATCCGCGCGGCAGTCAACAATCCTAAGTACCGTCCGTACGGTTCCTACGACAACCCCCCAAGGCATCCTCAAGTCACCGGAAGAGTGCAACCCCGCCCCCACCGACGGGTACACAAGGTGAGAAGAACCTCAGTAAGGGACGAATGCGTGTCCGTCAATACTACGGAGCCGGGTAGTGGGTCCACTACGTTAATGCGTGCATGTAGTCGCGGGCACGTAGAAGTTGTAAAGGTTCTGCTGGCGTATGGAGCTGAGATGAACGCAAGTGATAATCGGGGGAATACAGCGCTCTTGCATATGTGCACATCTGGGAAGATTGACGCAGAGATTATTCGCGATTTCGTTCTGAATTATGAGGTTGATGTTAACGTCAAAACAAATTCGGGGCTAACGCCGCTCATGCGTATGTGTGAGTCGGGTAAACTGGATATAACGACTGCAAAGCTGTATGTTGAAGAGCACCACACTGATGTGAACGCAAAGAGCAGTTCCAATATGACACCTTTAATGTTTTATTGTGCTTCTGGAAAGGTTAATG